AAAAGACAATGAGCATCATATTAATTTTTGAGCGGCTTTGGAGTGTTCTCTTTTGTTTCGGCTCTTTTTTCCCTCCATTCCGTTGAGTTGTTTGCATGTCAAACTCATAAACCATCGGCAGTTATAATACTCTCCATGAATATGGGGTTATCGGGACAAGTCGATCAAGAATGTGCTCATACCCAAAATATCCACCAAAATCATTGGATCGAATTCGCGAGAGATAATACGCTAATGCCGATTTGTTTTCTAGGGTCCGACTCCGCACATCTGCATTATCAACCACCTTATGGTGTCAAGAAGTACGTGCACTAAGTTTTACAATATCAAGATGGCCAAATCTATACTTAAGTTACAGCTTGCATAGATGGTCGGACAGTCAGTTTCTCCGATTTCAACTAGTTTCGCTATCCTAATCATTTATATATATTTTGCGGTGAGTGTGTTTTCAAGTGTGGTAAATCACACGATATAGTGGGCCAATTCTGATCACCATAATGAGAGAGTACACGACCTCGAAATTACTCATGCAATTATGAAAGTGTTTTACGGGGCTGTGCCACATGGCTTAGCCTGGTTGAAACCACATATTGGTCACATCAATATCATCAGCTTCATTTTCCAAAACATATGATTCAATTGTGCCTTCATCCCAAAATCTAACAAAACTGTGAAACGTTGTGTATGCATTGGTTTGTCGACAACCAAATGTGGTTMCTCAGAACACCAWAAACGTCAATTTTGGCGATTAACGKACCCATCAAAGTAGAAATGTACTTCATTTTTGAATTTGCTTGATTTTTTGAAGCAAAGGCTTCAACTTTTCGAAGTTGTTTTAAATGTTTCAGGATAATCTCAGAAAAAACGTATTTCCCTAAGCATAGATAATCCTCAGCAATATATRCCACTGCTGAAATTGTCACTTGGTTTCTGTACTACCAAAATTAGTTGCAAGATTGKTGGCGCTAGGTGAATTCTCCATAAGAAATTTGGGCATGGCGCGATAAGCAGGGCATTGCAGGATAAAGTAGACTGTATGCCCTCACGTCTTATCTGGGAGAGAAGGTTYCAAGTCAMAYCAAAAGAGTGGGGAGCGCAGGAGCATGCGACT